GGAATGCCGGAATGCACAGATTCCTGAGAAGCAGGCTGAGTTTCTCCTCTGTACCGGAGGAAGGCATCTGGCACTTTGTTGGGCTAAAACTGGAGTGCCTGCTCCTGCACCTTGTGCTGGAAGGGGAAATTGTTGCTGTTCTTATAGCTGCTTATTAGTCAGTTAATCTGGAAAAGAGAAACTGTCTCTAGCAAAACTGCTGGTGGACCCTGCCGATCACGGGACGGGCACATTTCTTCTTCATGCACTTGATTAACGAGCTCAAGAAATGAGTTACTACTTAGGAGTTTCTGTTTCAGAGAATCTCCCCAAGAGGGATGCACAGAGCCAAAGATTGGTTTCAGAGGTGGCATTACATGGGCTCAGAGATAATCCACAAGCTTTGAGGAGAACGTGTGAAATGGTGTCACAAAAGCTTTCCCACAACTTGACATAAAAGACTCAGAGCTCAACAGCTGCTGCTCTGCAGGACAAGAAGGGAGCCTATTCAAGAGCAGCACAATAGGGATGGCAAGGCGGCTCCTGGAAGAGGTCATTTAAGCCTTACCTGGTCTCACGAATGAGGAGCTGCAGAGAGAGAGAGAAAAATGTCTGTGTGTATGTCTATGCACATTAAAAGACACGTGTATATATTAATATATACCTGAACACACATACACATACATTAAACACAAACAGTGTTTACTTACTATAGTAAAACATCGCCAAACATAAGCCCTAACATTTCTTGACAGTAATTTACCTGATTATTATTATTTTTGTATTGGATCTTACAGAGGGACACACTGATGCTCCCAGAGAAGTGTGTCAAACTGGTTAGGTCACAGCACGTTTGGAGTAGATCTGGGAGCAGAGCGCGTGGTTCCAGGCTGCGGGTCCTCCTCCGGCCCCCCGCTTCGTCCCGCTCGGGGTTTGACAGGGCACCGCGGCCGGCAGCCGTGCTCCAGCCCGGGGTGCCTGGGCAGGGGATGCCCAAAGCCCCTCGGCTCCATTCCCTCCCTTCTTCGGCTGTTCGAGTGAGGTTAGAGCTCAGAAGAGCAGGCAGTGCGTGCGGGGCAGAGGGTGGGATAAATGCAGGCAGATGTGGTTCAGGTTTTCCGACGGGAATCTCTGGCTGTGTGTTTGTAGGAGGCAAAGAGCGGGAGTGGTCGCTCTTCCAGCTGCGGGCACCTGTGGAGCGAGGTCTGTGCATCTCAGTACAGAAACTGGCCCAGGGGAGAAGGAGGAATCAACAATGTGATTTCTAATAATCTTATGGGCTATGTGAATTTCTTCTGCACTCCGTTTTCCTTTGTGCACAGATTAAACGAAAATAATTAGAGTAAAACGCATTTTGGGGAGGCAGTGAGAAAGCAGCACGTGAGACTGAACGGATCGCAAAACGCCCCGAGGTGCCGCTCCTCGAGGGTTGATTTTGCAGGTATTTGAAAACAGAAACATCAAGTGCTTATGACGTGGCTTGAGAGCGTGCTAAAGAGGTGCAGAAGGTATCAAGGGCAGAGAACAAAGATGAAAACAGAAAACATTTTCAATAACTGCGTGTACTTACAATTAAACGTATTGGTTTGCAGTAAACCAAACTGGAAAAGCTGTTCTCTGTTTGACAGGGGCCAAACTGGTGCCGCAGCCAGCTCTGGCTCACTGAGGAAACAAGGTGAGCGTGTTTAAAGCTCTGCTCTTCATCTCAGCAAACCAGAAGATGCTCCTGGGTGCATCTGTGCGTGCTGAAGCGCGTGCCTCGGCGCATCCCCGGGAGGACGGCTGGCAGCCCCACGCCGCAGCCCGCCCGCAGCAG